TTTTCAATGCTACCAAACGAGATCCGCGCGCGCGTGTCGAAATCGTTTCAACGCCCGTGCGCGCGCGTCGTCGCGAGCTTTTCTTGGGGGGGGAACAAAATGAAATGCGCGCGCGCAGTCGCGCGCGCGCGCGTGCGAATATCCGTCCAACATTTTCGGTTTCGCACCGATGTCAAAGCCGAGTGCCCCGTGCCAAACATATAGCAACACATGTCTTCGCAGCGGCAGGTTTCAAATAAAAAACGTGCGCTCGCGCCCTTGTGAGTCCGCAAGGAGACAACAAGTTCTTCTACATGGTCATGGAATTATGCCAAGCGTGTTTCTGGCGCCGCATGCCACAATTTCGCGCGACCTTGCGAGCGTGCTTGGGGGGCGACTGGTGTCAAATAAGGCCGCGGGGGCCACTCTCGCGCGTCGGCCGCGCGCGCGTGCCGGACTCTTTCCAAAATCTTCATCACCGACGCGGGGACGGCATCGTCGCCGCCGACGTGATCAGCATCCGCGCCGTCGCTGGCCGCCGTCGTCGATGTCAGCATCGTTACCAGCATCGCTACTATCAGCGCCGTGTTTACCGTTGTCGACGTTGTCATGATACCGCGCCCGCTCAAGTCGCCGACTCGCACTGCAATGCCCAGCGGTCAGCGCCAGGGCGGCCGCGTCGGTCGCGCCAAACTAGCTGGCCGCTGCGCGCGCGCATTTGGGTTGGCGCGGCCGCAGAGATGGACCGGCCAACGTCAAGCTCTCATGGTAATCGCCACCGCAAGCGTTTTGCAAACCAAATTGCGGGCGGGTGGATGGAATGATTGCGCGGGCAGTGGAATGGACGACCCATTGGGAACAGGAGTTTATTGTACCGCGTAGATTGCACCACGTTGGTTGCGCCACATAGAATGCAAAACATAGATTGCACCACGTCGTATGCACCGCACTGAAAACTGCACCACGTATGTTGTACCAGATAGATCGCACAACCTGCGCTGCTCAACAAATATAGCATCGCATATTTACACATGGCTGGTTGCTTCGCAACTACTGCGCCACGTCGATGGTGGTGGGATGTTTGTGCGAGCAGTGGAGATGACGACTTCAAGTTCAGCAGAGTGGATTGCACCACGCATGATGCACCACGTAATTTGCCCCGCCGACATTCTCCTTTCTAGAAAAATCGATTCTACCATCCTCCCCCCCCGGAGTGATCGACTCCCTGGGGACCTTTGCAAATCACATCTGATTCTGACACAAGGTCCACCCTGCCTATGAATTCGTACTATCCCATCCAGGCCGGTATCGCCCCCCCCTCGGCTCCCTTGCAAAAACATATACGGTGACTGTTTTGATTCTGATAGAACATTATTTCACGGATCCCTTTTTTAAATGGAAAAAATGGGGGCGCACGCACACGGCCGCCGCACGCGCATGCCGGAATCCTTCCAAACACGTCATTTTCAACAAGTTCAACATCCCGCTTCATAAAACACCTATTAACACATGCGACTTCCTCACCAAAGCAAATTGAAAATTCTTCCCGCGCGCTTTTGCTGAATCCTTCGGAAGCCGATGGTTGCCAACATTCCTCTCGAATCGGGCTTCTTGGGCAATTTTTGCGCGCACGTCTCTCTCATACAACAGCGGTCGCGCGCCTGCCAGGGCCACAATCCATTGTAAAAAACACCCTGCGGGGCACACGCGCGTGGCCGCCGCGCGCGCAGGTCGAAATCCTTGCAAACATTTTGTGGCTTCAACAAATTCAAGACCGAGCTTCATGAAATCACACGAACCGTACCAGACATCCTCAAAACACTCTGCAAGTAAATCAAAGAGTCTACCCGCGCGCGCTTTCCGAATCCCCTTGCTTAAACACAAGAAACAAACCAATCTGAGACGCGAGCAATGTATGCGACCGCGTGGAACGCCTTCAAAATCGGCCGTCGGGCGGGCCAGCGGCAGCGCCGACGACAGAACCCGTCGTCGTTGTCGCCGTCGTCGTCGACGTCGTCGTCGTCTTCGTCGTCTTCGTCGTCGGCGTCGCCGTCGTCGTTGTCGTCGTCGTCGTCGGCGTCGTCGTCGTCGTCGTCGTCGTCGTCGGCGACGTCGTCGTCGTCGGCGTCGTCGTCGTCGTCGTCGGCGTCGTCGTCGTCGTCGGCGTCAGCGTCGTCGTCGTCGTCGTCATCGTCGGTGTCGTCGTCGTCGTTGTCGTCGTCGTCGAAGTCGTCGGAGTCGTCCTCGGAGTCGTCGTAGTCATCGTCGGCGTCGTCGTCGTCGTTGTCGCTGTCGCTGTCGTCGTCGGTGTCGTTGCCAAGTGCCATATGGTACCTACCGTCAAGGTCTTCAGAGGTCTTGCGACCAAGTCGCGGGTGGGAGGGGGATGTTTGCACGAGCAGTGGAGAAAACAGCTTCAACACAGTCAAAGTAAACTGCACCACACAGGTTGCACCACGTCGGTTCCACAACATATACTGCACACTACATAGATTGCACCATACAATCTGCACCACCACATACACTGCAGAACCGGTATAGTGCACTATATGTTTCACAACACATGTTGCACCGAATAGACTGTACCACACGTGCTGCTTCACATAGATTGCACGCCGCAGATTACACAGCACAGCATATTGCACCACGTGGGTTGCACCACGTAGGTTGCACCACGAAGGTTGCTCCACCTAAGTTGCACAAGATACACTGCTAGAAAAACACGTTTTTTTATCTGCGCGCGGGGTCGCCCCGCGGCTAAGGGAAAGGGGAAGGGAAGCAGCACAGGGGGTAAAACATCACGCGAAACCCTTTGTTGGGGGTCCATACTGGCTAACATGTTCAACCATACGCGCCAGGGGCTCTGGGCGCCGCCCGCGGCGGAAGCCGTGGCGCGAAGTTGTGTGCTCCACCGGCGGATCAGCGATCGGGGAGGCTCGGAGGAACGAGGAGGATCGAGGGAAAGGGGGCCCCTCCCTGCCTGCCTCACTCCGAGGGCCTCCCAAGCGTGCGATGTCCGGCATTTGTTTCAAACCGTGGTCGTTGGAAACCCCGACCGACCCTTCCCCAGAGCCGGTTTCTCATCCCGAAGGATTGTTCGACCGTCCCTGGGCCAGGTGAGAGTACCCAGAAGCCCAACATTCAGAAAACCCTTGTCCTGTTTTATTGTTCTGAAACGTTGCATGTCTGGGCTGAGATCGGCGACTCCGACGGCTGTGGCTTGCAAAGGGTGTGGTTTGCAACGCGCACCCTGGGGGGCGGGCGCGAGGACCTGGGCAAAGCTACCCACCGCGCCCCGAGGCGGCCCGACTAGGTCTGCGACGTGGTGCCCAAGCCCCAACGGTGCCAATGGCAAACCACGAGGGTGCGCCGCTGGATCTCCCCAGGGGCGGGGGTGTTGGGAACCCCTTATCCCCCCCGCCTTGCCCCGATCCGTCGTCAGGACCCCCTCCCCCGTTCCCACCCCGTCGTCAAGGACCCCCTACCCCTCCCCCCCTTTCCCACCCCGTCGGGGACCCCCCCCCGTGGGTCCGGACCCGCCCCCCCCTCCCCCCCTTTGGCCGTCAAATTCGACCCCCTCCCCCCTCCCCCACTTTCGCCAAGGCACCCCGTGACTCCGGAAGCCGACCCGTGACACCTACCACCCCGAGCACCCGCAACCCGAACCCCAAACCCTAACCCTAGCCCCAAACAGTACTCAAAACTCATTCTTTCACGACTCGTCACCCACTACCCACTACTCACTACTCACTACTCACTTCTCATTACTCACTGCTCACTACTCACGGCTCACTACTCACTACCCACCACTTACTACCCACTTCTCACTACTCACTACTCACTAGTCATTACTCCCAATTCACTATTCACTAGTCATTGTTCACCACCCACTACTCAATACTCACTACTCACTAGTCACTAGCCACAAGTCGCTACTCACTACTCACTGATCACTACTCATTAACCCTCACCACTCACTACTCACTACTGAATACTCACAATTCACTACTCAGTGCCCACAACTCACTACTCACAATCCGCTGCTCGCTAGTCGCTACTCCCTACTCCTCACACAGTCCTCACACATCACTACTCACTACTCACTACTCGCTGCTCCCTACTCGCTACTCGCTACCCGCTACGCATGATAAACTACACACAACTCACCTACACACAACTCACTACTCACTACTCACGACTCACTAGTCTCTACTCCCTACTCCCTACTCACTAGTCACTAGTCACTAGCCACAAGCCACTACTCACTCACTACTCACTACTCACTACTCACGACTCACTCCTCACTACTCACTACTCCGTACTCGCTACCCCCTACGCGCCATCCACTACTCACTACCCACTTCTCACTTCTCACCACTCACTACTCACTACTCACCACTCATTACTCACTACTCACTACTCACTTCTCGCTACTCCCTACTCGCTACTGGCTGCCTCCCTGCTCACTACTCAGTACTGACTACTCCCTCACTGCTCACTATGCCCTACTCGCTGCTCGCTAGTCAGTACTCGCTACTCCCAATTCGCTGCTCACTATTCACTACCCACTCCCCGCTGCCCACTACTCACTACTCACTACTCACTGCGCACTACTCACTACTCACTACTCACTACTCACGCCTCACTACTCGCTACTATCTACTCACTACTCACTATTCACGACTCACTACTCACGACCCTCTACTCGCTACGCACTACCCGAGGCCACCCCCGCCCCCATTGCGGGAGAGGCCCCCTCCCCGGCCCATGTTCGGCGCAAAGGGGGGAGGGGGGGTCGAACCCCCCCCTTTCCAGCGCCAAGGGGGTGAGGGAGGGGAGGGGTCCGGACCCCTCCTCCTCCCTTCAAGGGAGGGGGGGGGTTCAGAACCCCCTCCCCCCCGTCGAAAATCTCACCCCACCCTTTGAAGGGGGGGAGGGGGGGGGGTTCTGCGAGCACAGCCCCGGCACAACCATGCCCGTGGTAGTCGCCGATGAGAGCCAGCCCGCCCAACCCTGCGGGCCTCCCTCGGCGGGGGCGCAAACGGCGCCGTGCCCGCGGCGGGCGCCGCGACTGCGGGCGCGGCCTCGGCGGGGGCCGCCGCGGCGGGCCCGCGGCGGCGGGCGCGGCCCCCCGGCGGCGCGCGGCGTCCGCGGGCGGCGCGGCACCTGCGCGGCGGGGAGCTCTCGCTGGGGCCCCGGGCGCCGAAGCTCTGGGGCCCTGTCCTGACTTGGGATCCGCCTCCTCCTCCTCGCTCCCTGCAGGCTTCCTCCTCCTCCAACTCCTCCTCCTCCTCCTCCTCCTCCTCCTTCCTCCTCCTCCTCCTCTCCTCCTCCCCTCCCTCCTCCTCCTCCTCCTCCTCCTTCCTCCTCCATCTCCACCTCCACCTCCACCTCCTCCTCCTCCTCCTCCTCCTCCTCCTCCTCCTCCTCCTCCTCCTCCTCCTCCTTGGAAAGACGCAGGCGCAGGGAAGAGGAGAGTCGTGCATCGAGAAGGCCAGGATCAAGCAGCGCATCCAGAAGGCCAGGATCAAGAAGTTAAGGCGAGCGACGACGTTGGTCGCTGGCCAAAGCAGCCAAAGGACTGTGGGCGACGGGGTCCCTCCCACCGGCGAGCTACGGACACCAAGCGTTCGGGCTGGCACCTTCGGAGTGGTTGCAACTACGGCGACACGCCGGACAGGTGGCGGCTGGCTCGCGGGGGGGACAGTGCCTCACCCCCACCCTCGCAATCGAGATGTGGGAGAATGAGCCAGGCCTGGAGCTGCTCGGGAGAGTGGTCTCGGAATGGTTGGCGATGTGGCAGCATAATCCCTAGTTGCACGAGAGGGTGAAGTTGGCCTGGCTGAAGATCAGACAGCAGCTGCTTGGAGCTGGCCGAAGGGGGTGGGCGTTCGTCAAGGGGCCCATCGCCACACTCCAGGCGACACAAGCTGGCGACCCATCAGTGCGACGGAATGGGAGACGCCAGTACAAGACGGGCAGCTGCAGGCGTGGCCCATACCTAGCAGCAAGGACGAGGACTACACTCGGGACTGGGAGCGCATCGGCCATCCTGGGGAACCTAGTTGGCGACATGCGCAGGATCTACTGGAGCCAGGCCGCCAAGCACGAGGACGGCGGCGGCATCCAGGAAGGCGCCAACGTATGGATGGTAAGGAAGGAGCAGACGAAGTTCCACGATCGAGGAGCTGCGGACGTGGCCGCCCTCAACCTACTGAGCACTACTGGAGGACAGTGGACCAGGACGAGACGGCAGCGTGCTGGGTACATCTTGAACTCCACGCGTTGCCCGAAGTGCGAGCTCAGAAAGGACACAGTGTACCACTGCATCTTGAAGTGCAAGAAGAACACGGGACACGAGAACTTCGAGAAGTCAGAGTGTCAAGTGATGCAGGCGGCGGTGCAGCACGAGACGAACCACGCGTTCTGGCTGAGAGGTCTGCCGTCGACCAGCCGGATGGTGCACACGTTCGATGGGCAGTACATTGGCTTGCTCAGCTTGCAATGTCATTCCTGTGCATGTGTTTGGTGACGGCTCGGGGGGCTGATTATCGGATGACCCCAGGTGGAGGCGCTGTGGAGCCGCGCTAGTTAGCCTCACCCTGGACCCCGAAAGCGCTTGGGTTCTTGGGGAGGCCCGTGGAGCCCCACTTCTGGGAGAGGCCCAGACGGTCCCCCGAGCCGAAGTGTTAGTCTTCTGTCTTGCTCTGGAGGCTGTCCCAAGCAGCCTGGAGTTCACATTTGTGACCGACCACAAAGCGATCGCCAGGTCCTGGGAAGCGAGAGTCCGAGGTCCCGACCCTGTAGGGGTCAACGAGGACCTCTGGACCAGGGCCCGCAAATCTTTCCAGGGGCGATCCATCTGCAGCGTTCGTATGGTCTGGTTTGCGCCCAACCAGGAGGAAGCCCCAGAGCACCTAGACACCCGAGAGAAACTCGTCGTCGCCCCTGGTAATGCCTGCACTGACCCGTGGGTGGGGGAGGCGGCGGAGTTGGCGTGGAGTGGGGTGGTGGGACGGGAGCCAGAGACTGACATAGTCGATGTAGCAGCTTCACTGATACGCAGCGGAACCAGATGAGCTCTGGCGGCCATGGCGGAGGCAAGGAATAAGGTGCGGGCCGACAGAGCCCCTAGAGAGGGCAATAGGTTTCCGAGGCACCTTGCGCTGGCAGCCGCATCGGCCCACTCCCTGGAGGCGTGCGGCACCTCCCAAAAGTTCTGGTGGTGTACGGTGTGTGTGTGTGTGAGTGTGAAAGAGAGGGTGGTTCTCAGATGCAAACCTCGGGAATTGGCAGCGGGCTGTTGTCCAGGACCCCCAGCGAAAGTGCAGAGAGCGGCCACGGCAGCGGTCGGTGAGCGCGGTGCCCAGCCGTCAGAGGACACGGGGTGTGCGAACGCGCACACCCCTCGCACGCAATTCAGTCTGCAGGAAAATGGCTCCTCTTGCTCTGCTCGAGCTGTGGTCCCCATGCGACCATAGACCCCAGGAGTTTGGTCCCGATTTGCAAGGAGAGGGATCCTCAAGGTTTGGAGAATCTGCCGAAGCTCACCAAAGGTCTGCTTCCTCAGCGCGAAGGACCCCCCAGGGCAATTCGAGATGCCGTGAAGGCTGGTGGTGATGCCGAGCGCGCAGTGGGGGCCGATCCACAAGATGCCTTCCACAAGAAACCCATCCCTGAGACCCCAGGACGCCCATGGATGTTTGGTGCGGGAACGTCACACTATCCATCGCAAAACCATCGAAACTTACGAAACCCAGGGTGCGGGAACGTCACGCCCTCCATCGCAAAGCCATCGAAACTCCAAAAAACCCAGGGCACCCTGGAGGCAAGCAGGGTAGGTGGTTCTTGGCTTGGGCCTCCACCTGGACGGTTTCCCCCGGGGCCGTAGGCGACCCGACGAGGGGAGGGCGAGGAGGGGGAGGAGGAGGAGGAGGAGGAGGAGGAGGAGGAGGAGGAGGAGGAGGAGGAGGAGGAGGAGGAGGAGGAGGAGGAGGGAGGAGAGGGAGGGAGGAGGGAGGAGGAGGGAGGAGGAGGAGGAGGGGTCGCCTAAGCCCTTCGGAGAAACCCTCCACCTCCGCTGTAGGGCACTCGCGGACCAAGAGAGCGTCGCTGGCCGACCCAGGTCCGGGCCCTGGCCAAGAAGCTGGGCCTCGGGAGGCCCAGGTGGGAGCGGCGGGGTGGACCCGCGACCCCCTCCTGCAGAGGAATGGGGGCAGCTCCAGCGATCCAAACCCACCGCCCAGGACAGAGTCCGCTATCACGCAGTCCAGATAGTCCTCCTGTTCCCCCTCCTTCTCGTCTTCCTCCTCCTCCTCCTCCTCCTCCTCCTCCTCCTCCTCCTCCTTGCCCCCCCTGCGCCTCCTCCGCCTCCTCGCTTGCTGCAGCTGGCCCCACCGCCCAGGGGGGCACCACCTCCCTCGCAGCATGGAGCGCTGCCATGGCTTCGGATCCGCCGCACTTCGTGGGCGAAAGATTGCAAGTGGGGCGGGGATCCCCGCCCTGCTCTTCAAACTGCTTTCATGACGATGTCCGCCCTAATTTGCCGTTGCTGCTCCAGCAATACCTTTTTGTGGAACTACCTGGCCTAGTTCTGCTCTGGGGCGGCCATTTCCGCCCTACTCGTTCGCATCGTTCGGGCTGGACTTCCGAAACCTTCTCGGGTCGGGTAGTCAACCAAAGCAAGGCAGATCCGACGTCAGGGTCGGATCCCCCCTTCTCTGGAATGCGGGAAATCCAATTTCACAGGGAGTGCTTCCGCCAGGCTTCGGGCTCTGGGACCCGCACAGATATACTGGGCTCGAAAGGTGCAGCATGATGATGGGGTCCAGGGCTCCCGTCATGATTGCTGTTGGACGTTCTCAGTTGTTTCGCGACGTCGGATCTCGGGGTCCTCCTCGCGTCGTGCGAAAATCACGACCGGCCTTCTTGTCAATTGTTTTTGTCGGTCCCCCAGGGCCCTCCCTGGGCCTGGGGACCGTCAGAAAACTGCTCGGGATGAAAACCAAGCCCTGGGGAATCGGTCGGGACCACCGCGGACCGCGGCTCAACGTATCGAACAGCAAACATGACGACGGATGTCTGGGTCAGGGGCTCCACAATTCTCTCGCGACACATGCTGTTTGCAATACCGGTGTTTTCCCAACCCTCCTGTGGTTGAGGTTCTCTATTTGAATCGTGCAGTGTGGTCGCGTCTTTCCTCCTTCCTCCCTCCCCCCGTCCTCCTCACCCTCTTCCTCCTCCTGCGTCTCCTGCCTGCAAGGGCTCGTCATCATCACCATCATCATCATCACCATCGTCACCAGCATCATCACCATCATCGTCATCATCATCACCATCACCATGATCATCATCATAAACATCAGCATCAGCATCATCATCATCAACATCACCACCGCCACCACCATCATCATCATCATCATCAGCATCATCATCGCCATCACCATCATGACCATCAGCATAATCAACATCATAATCGTCATCATAACCACGATGATCAGCATCATCGAAGGTGCGCCGCTGGATCTCCCCAAGGGGGATGGGGGGGGGAGGACCCCCCTTCCCTTCCCCGATCCGTCGTCGGGGAAACCCCCACCCCCCCTCCCCCCCTTCCCCGATCCGTCGTCGGGGGACCCCCCCCCCCTCCCCCCCTTTCCCCGATCCGTCGTCGGGAAGGACCCTCCCCTCCCCTTTCAAAAAGGGCAAGGGGGGGTTCCTACCCCCCCCCCCTTCCCCCCTTTGGCCGCACCCCCCCCCGCTCCCCCGTTTTCGCCACGCCGCCCCCTGACTCCGGAACCCGACCCCCGCCACCCCTACCCTTAGTCCTCACCCTAACCCAAACCCCTAAACCTAACCCCAACCACTAACCCCAGCCCCAAAGAGTACTCACTACTCATTACTCACTACCCACTAGCGACTACTCGCTATTCGTTACTCACCACTCACTACCTCCTACTCACTACTCACGACTCACTACTCACTATCCACTACTCACTACCCACCACCCACTACTCGCTACTCACTACTCCCTACTCACCACTCCCTCCTCCATACTCACTACTCACTACTCACTCCTCACTACCCACTATCAATACGCACTACTCACTAAGCACTTCTCACTATTCTCTACTCGCTACTCACTAATCACTACTCATTACCCACTACTCACAAATCCACTACGCACTACTCATTGCCCACAAATCACTACTCACTACCCACTACTCGCTACTCCCTGCTCCCTAGACAATACAGACTACGCATTACTCAGTACTCACTACTCGCTACTCCCATACTCGCTGCTCAATACTCACTACTCACTCCCCGCTACTCACTACACACTACTCCCTACTCATTAGTCACTACATAGTCACCAGACACTACCCACTGCTCACTACGCACTAATCGCTACTCACTAAACACTATTCGCTACCCACTTCTTACTACTCACTGCTAACTACTCCCTACCCCCTACTCACTACAAACTACTAACTACTCACTACTCGCTACGCCCTAGTGGTTACTCACTCATCACTACCCACTACTCACTACTGGCTACTCTCTACTAACTACTCACTACTCACTACGCCCTACTCGCCCCTCACTACTCACTACTCGCTACTCCCTACTCGCTATTCACTACACACTACCCAGTGCCACTACCCACTACTCTCTATGCGTCACTACTCACTACTCACTACCCACTACGCACTACGTACTACTCAGTACTCACTACTCACAAGTCACTACTCACTACGCGGTACTCTGTACTCACTACTCACTACTCAGTACTCACTACGCACTACGCACTACCCACTACTCACTACTCACAAATCACTACTCGCCACCCACTACTCACTACCCACTACTCACTACCCACTACTCATTACTCCCTACTCTGTACTCAGTACTAACTACTCACTACTCGCCACTCACTAATCACTACTTACTCCTCGCCACCCACTACTCACTTATCAGTACACAGTACTCACTATTCACTACTCACTACTCCCCACTCCCTATTCCCTACCCCCTACTCGCCACTCAGTACCCACTACTCACTACCCAATACTCACTACTCACTACGCACAAACTCACTACTCACTACTCACCACTCCCTACTCCCAACTCCGTACTCCCTACAAACCTTCTGTGGCACAGAAAGGCGAAGCGAGAGAGGCCCCCCCTCCCCAGCTCCCTTTCCGGCGCAAACGGGGGAGGGGGGGGGGGTCCGACCCCCCCCCCCCTTTCAGCGCCAAGGGCGGGGGGGGTCCGGACCCCCCCCCCCCCCCTTCAAGAGAAGGGGGGGATGGGGGGTTCGGACCCCCCCCTTGAGGGGGGAAGGGGAGGAGGGGGGGGGGTCTGGACCCCACCCAGCCTTTATTGTATGCAGGGGGATCCACTGGCGCACTTTCAGCATCATCAGCATTGCCATCGGCATCGTCATCACCATCATCGTCATCATCATCCTCAGCAGCATCATCATCAACCATTCACATCATCAAAAACAGCATCGTCAACGTCAAAATCATCAGCGCCACCATCATCACCAGTTGCATCACCAGAAGCACCATGACCGTCATCATCCGCATCATCATCGTCATCGGCAACGTTATTACCAAGGTCATTTTCATCATCATCATCATCATCATCATCATCATCACCATCATCGTCAACATCACCATCACCATCATCATCATCATCATCATGATCATCCGCATCATCATCATCATCATCATCATCATCATCATCATCATCATCATCATCATCATCATCATCATCGCCTGCATCAACATCAACATCACATACTGCTACACCCCAGGCCACCCCAAACATTTCTATGCGGCGGGCGTCCCGGGCGGTTCCACCGAAGGCGCAGCAGCAAGCGAACGACACACACAGAGGAGAGAGAGAGAGAGAGGAAAAGGAGGACCCAACGCACCCACACAACACCGAGGAGAGAGAGAAGAGGGAGAGGAGGGCGGGCCAGAAAAAGACTTGAGCCGACGCGGTCGCGGCGAAGACGCGTGACTGCGACGGGCTTCGGTTCCACTGAATATGAGATGTGCAAACACGGCCATGTACTGCTACACCCCAGGCCACCTCAAACATTTCTGTGTGGCGGGCGTCCCGGGCGATTCCACCAAAGGCGCAGCAGCAGGCGAACGAGACACACGGAGGAGAGAGAGAGAAAGAGAGAGAGAGAGAAAGAGGAGGACCCAACGCACCCACACAACACCGAGGAGGAGACCCGAACCCGAGAGGAGAAGTGGCGACGGCAGGACGGCGCCGATAATACATAAACAGAAAAAAGGTGGAAGCAAGACATTAGCGAGAGTACTTATCAGAGACAGGACAGGCAAGGGATACCAAACGCTTGAAACCTTGAAAACCAGTTTGCCTTGCAAATAAATCAGAAAAATCACAAACCTTAACCGGGTAAGGTTCGGCAGGCGGGTCCAAAGGATCCCAGAGATGGGGTCAAGGCCAGTGAGGACAGTGTGGGGTTTGCAAGAAAAGAAGCATAAACATGTTCTACAACTGCATCGCGGCCTCAGAAGAGCGCCTGGGTGATGTCGGGCCCAGCAGGCGATTCGAGTAAACTTTCTCCAGCGGGCACCGAAAGCACGAGGTCGAATGACACGGCATCGTGGGCCCCCAGCAGGGCCTGAGCGGGCCAGCGCGATGAGGCCCAGGGCGAACCGAAGCTGTTTGTTCTCCAGGACGACGGCCGCCTGCGGCCTGGCTGCCAGGTTCGGCAGCCCCCAAACGTGTTCCCTTGAGCGGAGGGTGCACCAAGACGACCCAGGCGGCCCGTGTCTGGCCTGGCTCCAAGACGAACGCGGCAGGGCAATCCAAAGAGCGGCAGCGACTCCACCACGAACCCACCCGCGAACGACCTGACGGACGGCAAGATGGTCGAGATCGAACCAGGGATTCGAAGCGAAGTCCATCGGCAGCGCGGCGACCCCGAGGCGTCGAAAGGCGGCGGACAGGCGACCCGTGCCGGCGAACAGCTCCAGCACAGCAGTGCGAGGGGGGCCTTTGTGACGCTTGAAGTTTGCGTGAAGCTCTCTGAGGAAGTGACGATGGGATGGACTCCGTCGAGGGGCCCCCCTCGGTCAGTTTTGCAAGCTCTACTGCGCGCGCCAGGTCCGGCAGAGCTCGGGCAGCGGCGCGCCCTGCAGGAAAATCCGCGGCAGGGCGGCGTCCATCGCCTGGCCGCGAAATGCGCTGCAGAAAAGGCCTCGGAGGCGAGGAGTCGACGTGTTGACATCTCTTCCTCGTGGGAGCAAGGAAAGGCGACACCAACACCAACAGGGCGAGGAGATGCGAGGAGGCAAAGGGGGAACTCCCTGGTGGTGTGTTCCCCCCTCTCGCTCGAGACATCCCCAGCCTCCAGCTCGGAGAGGCATCGTGGACCTCATCGCTGGCGGTGGGCCCCCGGGTGGTATTGGTATCGCTTCACCTCCCACCGACCCTCGGCGGAAGGCAGCGGAGGACCAGCGGAAGGCGGCGGAAGGAAATCGAGGGCGGCTCTGCCAGCAGAAGCCAGCGAAAGGCAGGCGGAAGCAAATGCCGCTGGCTCAAGATGCCAACTGTTTGGACCCATGGTTTCCAGAAGCGGCCATATTCAGCCTGCGCGACGCCAGATGCCACGGGCTCGTGTGCTTTGACAGCGGGCTGCTGCGCTGGGCGACTCCATCAAACTGAAAGAAGATCGCAGGCATGAGGAAGACCTGCTGGGTAGGATCGGGCTGAATGGACTGGCCTGGACTGGAAAGGATTGGTCCCTCTCGGGGAACTCTCATCCAGAGCCAAAGCGAGTTACCAGCGAGGCGCAGTCGAATGTGCTAGTCCACCCAGCTATTCAAGGCGGGAGTGGTTTAGCGGGTTTCCTATTCCATCATCCTTCCCCTTCGGGGAGGGGGAAGACGCTGGGTCTGATGGGGGGGGGGGCGCGGGTCGTGCGAGCGTCCAAAACGGCCTCGGCGCGAAGCCACACATTCTATAACATGTTAATCCAAGTTTTGGCCTCCTGGGGGGGCGGTCTTAGTTTACTCTGCCCCCCCCCCCTTTGATCGAGCGCCTTCAAAATTGCCCCAAGATGAGGGGTGACCGAAGAGGGCCCCAAGAGGCGCCCAGGAGGCCCCACGAGGCCCCGAAAATGCTCCCACGATGCCTCCAAGAGGCTGCTAAGAAGCTTCCAAGAGACCCCCAAAAGGCCAGAAGAGGCACCCAAGACGCTTCAAGATGGTTCTCGGACCGACACGAGCCCCCCAAGAGGCACCAAGCGGCCTACAACAAGCTCTCAAGAAACAACCGACGAGAATCCGAGCAGCATCCAAATGGGCTCCGGCCTTTCTGCTCGCCCTCCTCCCTTTCCTCGTCCTTCTCCTCCTTCTCCTCATCCGCCTAAGCCTCCCTCCCACCTCCTGCCTCCTCCTTCCTCCCTCCCTCCTCCCCCTCCCGCTCCCCCCTCTTTCTTCCCCTCCCCCTCCTCCTCCTCCTCCTCCTCCTCCTCCTCCTCCTCCTCCTCCTCCTCTCCTCCTCGCCCTCCACTGGTTCCGCCTCCTCCTCGAATTTGGAGTTGCCGTGGCAGGAATCTCTATGAGTGGAGCGAGTAAGACATTGACGTGGCCCGAGGCACCGACGAGCTCAACAATGGCTCTGAACTCGCCCTCGAGCCTCGTGATCACCACTTCCTTGCAAGAGAGAGGGCGGAAAAGAGAAGACATCAACTTCGCAGTCAGATATGGAGCGCACCCCGCCGCCTCCAACCGAGGAAGAGAACAACTGTATAAACATAAAGTATCCCAGAGCGACCCTACCTAGGACTTGGAGCCCCGAGGAGAGCAATATTAGTAGTAACGGTAAACGCCGTCCTCCTCCTTATCCTCATCGTCGCAGTTGTAGCAGTAGCGGTAGTAGTAGTAGTAGTAGTAGTAGTAGTAGTAGTAGTAGTAGTCGTAGTAGTAGTAGTAGTAGTAGTAGTAGTAGTGGTGGTGGTGGTAGTAGTAGTAGTAGTAGTAGTAGTAGTAGTAGTAGTAGTAGTAGTAGTAGTAGTAGTAGTAGTAGTAGTAGTAGTAGTAGTAGTAGTAGTAGTAGTAGTAGTAGTAGTAGTAGTAGTAGTAGTAGTAGTAGTAGTCGTAGTAGTAGTAGTAGTAGTAGTAGTAGTGGTGGTGGTAGCAGTAGCAGCAGCAGTAGTAGTAGTAGTAGTAGTAGTAGTAGTAGTAGTAGTAATAGTACAGCTTGCTACCTACATCTACATCTAGACCTACGGCCACATCTACACCTACAGCTACATATACATGTACACATGCACATACATCTACATATCCAGATGCATCTACATCTACAACTTCACTCACATCTACATCTACATCTACACCTACACCTACATATACACCTACATCCACATCTGCACCTACATCTACAACTACACTCACACCTACATGTACACATACATCTACATCTACATATCTGGTTTGCTGCTGCTGTTGCGTTGACTTTGCGTTGATGCTATGCTATGCTATGCTATGCTGCGCTATGCTATGCTATGCTATGTTGCGCTATGCTGCGCTATGGTACGCCATGCTATGCTAGGATATGCTAGGCTGCGTTATGTTATGTTAGGCTGTGTTATGCTATGGTATGCTGCGCTATGATGTGCTATGCTATGCTATGCTGCTGTGCTATGCTCTGCTATGTCATACTGCGATATGCTATGCTATGCTATGCTATGCTATGATACGCTATACTGTGCTATGTTGTGCTGTGATATGCGATGCTATGCTATGCTGCGCTATGCTATGCTATGCTATGCTATGCTGCGCTATGCTATGCTATGCGATGCTGCCCTATGATGTGCTATGCTATATTATGGTATGAAATGCCATGCTATGATATGCTATGTTGCGCTGTGCTATGATAAGCTATGCTATGCTATGCTATGTTGTGCTGCGCTAGGCTATGCTATGATATGATATGATATGGTATGATGCGCTATGATATGCTGCACTATGCTATGCTATGATATGTTATGATATGCTATGTTATGATGTGCTATGTTAATGCTAATGTTGCGCTAGGTTAAGCTGGGCTAAACTTAGCTAAGCTAAGCTAAGCTATGCTAGGCTAAGCTAAGCTAAGCTAAGCTAAGCTAGGCTAGGCTAAGCTAAGCTAAGCTAAGCTAAGCAAAGCTAAGCTAAGCTAGGCTTAGCTAATATGATATAAGCAAAGCTAAACTAAGGTGACGTAACTGGGGGAACCGCGGGGCGGATACTGGGGGAACCGCCCGGGGCGGTGTGCACTGCCCGGCCCCTTTAAGAAAGAGTGTAAGAACCCTCTAGGCAGAGCCTAGGTAGGGAACTCTCGGAGGTCTGCGCGCTTTTCTTCGATCGGTGCTGGACCCGCCTGTCTGGCGCGGGGAGCGCGCCGGGGGCGGCGCCTAAGGCGCCGGCAGGGCCGACCCGATCCAAGAAATCAGCGCGGCCGAGAGTTAATCTTGATGGTGCTTTTGTTCCTCGATCCGATTGGATAGTGCACGAATGAAGCTCGGACTCTAGCTGCACAAAGGCCCTTCTGATTGATTATGCGAAATTGGTGTTGTCCTCTCTAGTGATGATCAGCCCAGTCGGGACATCGCCAGTGCAGGGAGTGTCTGGAGCATCCAATACTGCCGGCGACTGGAAAGTTGACAGAGATTTCGATTCGGACTATGTCATGCCAAGAGTGACACAACGACAACCCCGAATTGAATCCTGCGCCGTTGCAAGAATATCCGACATGGATTTCAAAGACCATTGAGGTTCTTGTTTTATGTGTGAGCCTGTCGGCGTCGACAGGCTTTCAAACCACTCCCACCCTTTAGCTGAGCACGCGCATGAAGCAAATCAGATTGAACTCCACGAGCCAATGCACTGGCCTCTGTCTGCCCCTGCCTCTGGCACACGATGGTGCGAGATAGGCGGCTCAACCCGCACACATACACACCACACTCCAAGATCGCTCCCAGACGACATCCGGGTCACCCTGTGTTCTGTTCTCGAAACGCCCAGGCCCCACGACCTCCCAAGACCCACGCAGATGCCAAATTTAAATAACAAGACCACATTCGGTTTCCACGTTTATGGATCCCCCCTGATGGCTCAGCAAGAGTATCCCCGCAAAGCAACCTAACAGCGATGTGTAGAAGCATATCTGGAGGCATTCCCCTTGAGATTCAGATGAGAATCCAGTTGTAGAATTCTGCTGTTCTCGCAGTCGCAGTCGCAGTCGCGATGACAGTCGCAGTGGCAACGGCAGTCGCAGTCACAGCCTCAGCCTCAGCCTCAGCATCAGCCTGCCTCAGCCTCAGCCTCAGCCTGCCTCAGCCTCAGCCTCAGCCTCAGCCTGCTTCAGCCTCAGCCTCAGTCTGCCTTCAGCCTCGGCCTCAGCCTCAGCCTGCCTCAGCCTGCATCAGCCTCAGCCTCAGCCTCAGCCTGCCTCAGCCTCAGCCTCAGCCTGCCTCAGCCTCAGCCTGCCTCAGCCTCAGCCTCAGCCTGCCTCAGCCTCAGCCTGCTTCAGCCTCAGCCTCAGTCTGCCTTCAGCCTCGGCCTCAGCCTCAGCCTGCCTCAGCCTCAGCCTGCCTCAGCCTCAGCCTCAGCCTGCCTCAGCCTCAGCCTCAGCCTCAGCCTCAGCCTGCTTCAGCCTCAGCCTCAGTCTGCCTTCAGCCTCGGCCTCAGCCTCAGCCTGCCTCAGCCTCAGCCTGCATCAGCCTCAGCCTCAGCCTCAGCCTGCCTCAGCATCAGCCTGCCTCAGCCTCAGCCTCAGCCTCAGCCTCAGCCTGCCTCAGCCTCAGCCTCAGCCTGCCTCAGCCTCAAGCCTCAGCTGCCTAGCCTCAGAGCCTCAGCCTCAGCCTGCCTCAGCCTCAGCCTCAGCCTCAGCCTCAGCCTCAGCCTCAGCCTCAGCAGCCTCAGCCTCAGCCTCAGCCTCAGCCTCAGCCTCAGCCTCAGCCTCAGCCTGCCTCAGCCTCAGCCTCAGCCTCCCTCAGCCTCAGCCTCAGCCTCAGCATCAGCCTGCCTCAGCCTCAGCCTCAGCCTGCCTCAGCCTCAGCCTCAGCCTGCTTCAGCCTCAGCCTCAGTCTGCCTTCAGCCTCGGCCTCAGCCTCAGCCTGCCTCAGCCTCAGCCTGCATCAGCCTCAGCCTCAGCCTCAGCCTGCCTCAGCATCAGCCTGCCTCAGCCTCAGCCTCAGCCTGCCTCAGCCTCAGCCTCAGCCTGCTTCAGCCTCAGCCTCAGTCTGCCTTCAGCCTCGGCCTCAGCCTCAGCCTGCCTCAGCCTCAGCCTGCATCAGCCTCAGCCTCAGCCTCAGCCTGCCTCAGCATCAGCCTGCCTCAGCCTCAGCCTCAGCCTGCCTCAGCCTCAGCCTCAGCCTGCTTCAGCCTCAGCCTCAGTCTGCCTTCAGCCTCGGCCTCAGCCTCAGCCTGCCTCAGCCTCAGCCTGCATCAGCCTCAGCCTCAGCCTCAGCCTGCCTCAGCATCAGCCTGCCTCAGCCTCAGCCTCAGCCTGCCTCAGCCTCAGCCTCAGCCTGCTTCAGCCTCAGCCTCAGTCTGCCTTCAGCCTCGGCCTCAGCCTCAGCCTGTCTCAGCCTCAGCCAGCATCAGCCTCAGCCTCAGCCTGCATCAGCACTCAAAATGTGGCCCAGGAATGGAGGTTTGGGGACTCGAAGAACACGAAGTTGCCTACAGTTGGCTCCGGGCATTCAAAATCATGCCCAGGAGTGCAGTTCTGGGAACTCGAAGACCACGAAGTGGCCTACAGTTGGCTCCGGGCATTTAAAATCATGCCCAGGAGTGGAGTTCTGGGAACTCGAAGACCACGAAGTGGCCTACGGTAAGCTCCGGGCATTCAAAGTCATGCCCAGGAATGAAGTTATGGGAACTCGAAGACCACGAAATGTGTTACTGTCGGCTAAAAAAAGAGTCCCCGGATTCCCGCGGCACCCGTCCGGCATCTGCCCAGACCCCCCTGGGGAGTCATGATGCTCTCTTTTGAGACCACTAGAAAGCTATCAGTCTTCGCTGTCAGGTAAAAAGAATGCGAACCCTTTGGGATAGGTTCTAAGTTAGGAGGGCCAGAAAGATTAGGGATAGGGGATCTGTTCTGCAGATGTGACAAGCCAAACAGCCCAGATGTATGATCCCTAATGCAAAGACGGGAACCTCAGTAAGGCCACGCCTTCACTGTGTTATAAGGGTGACTACCTACCAGACCACACAAACCTAATCCGAAGATCCCAATTTCGGGTTTGGGGGGGTGCGGTTTACGTATGTTTTTTTCATTGTTCCCCGGCGCCCACCCCACTGGAAATGGAGCGCAAACTGAGGCCGTCAGGTTGGGTTGGGGTGGCTTGGTCGGTTGTGAGAAGGTTACGCCGGGGTTCTTTTGTCCTCGACGATCCGAGGCTCCTCGGGAATTCCGGAGAACGTCTCCGCGTGCTCCGTCCGGAAGCGCCCGAAGGCCTCCTCGGCCGCCCTGGCGGCGCTGGCAACCTCGCCGCGCTCCTGCGGGCGCCGGCGCGCGGCGAGCTCTGCCCGCCCGCGAGAGGTGGCGGCCCAGCGCGGCGGCTGAGAACGCACACGCGCCACCCTTAGGCGACGACATCCTCAGACGGAGCGAGGACGAGGACGACATCGGCCCGTAGCATACGGATGCGCGATAAGGATGCAAGGGCCTTGGACGCCCATGTCGAAGCCTCTCCAGCGGGGAGCGGCCGACGAAAGTGGCCAAGGATGGACCGACGAGGCAAGGATGCAAAGGTATCCTTGGGAAGGTTGCCCATTCTTACTATGCGGGTTGACTGTGAGGCGAAGCCAGGACGAGGATACACTCGGGTGAGCAATCAATCGAGAATCTCTGAGGTCCGGCGGCTCTGGAGGATGTATCGGGCGCCGCGGCCCTCTCGGAGCGTTCCGGAACGCTCCAAAATCGTTCCGGGACGCTCTTAGAGCCTGTTTTGCATTATCCGCGATAACGGGCGTGATCGGGGGGGAAACCTCGTCCTAGCCCCGTCCGACCTGCCTCCACCGACCATCGATGGAGGAAGGAAAACTGCACGACCATAAACTGTCGACGATCCGAGAGGACGTTTCTTGGATCTGCGCTGGATTGTCGGCGCAGTCGAGCCCTTTTTTTGCGTCGCTCACGTGCTCGACGAATTCCGAGCCCTACCCTCGCCGCCAATCGAGTTGCCTGAATCGTGGATTGGCGAGGGTAAGGTTCGGACTTCGCCGCCGATCCTCTAGGCTGGACCTGACGACGGAGAAGGTCGGCGCGACAATCAAACAGAAAGAGCGCGCTCCAGAGGCCCCGAGGATCTTCCGCCGGCCTTCAGGGAGACCCGTGAGCGGGGGCGTCGATCCGCCCGGCCGTGGCCGCGCCCGAGACAGCTGTACATCCGTGGGTCGAAGTATTCGTTTGCAGTCGGCCTTGATTAGACAGGACACGCGAGAGGACACAGTACCCTTCCGAGGGCCACGTGGCCATAGGTATGCAGAAGGGCATGGGTCGCGAGACACAGGACAAAAAAGTACCCTTGATTTGGCAGGGTCGACCTGCTAATCCGAGCCGACTGTATGTTCCATCCTCGGGGGGCATTGCCTGTCCCGTCGCGCTCCTATCCGCGAGTCAGCGTCGGGTCCATGGCAGACTCGTCGAATCTGCGTCGAATCCGCGAGGAGTCCGCGTCGAGCCCTCTGTTCTCCCAAGCCGGATCTGGCAGAAGCCTGGTTGGCCAATCGGCCTTCCTCAGGTCGGTCCCCGAGGATGAGGCCCAAGGATTGGAAGGGGCCCCAGGTGAGCGACGAAAACAAAAGGGTCCTGCGCGAGATAGCATCGTGACCTGACGCAATGGCTTACTCGGGCCGCCAGTGCGGAGCGCCACACTGGAAACGAGGGCGCCGGCGCGCGGCCGTACGCGGGCAGCTTACGCGCAAATGTCGGCGCAGCCAACTCCGCTTGTCTGCGTCGCTCGGGTGTCGTCTGCGCTGTTGCGGGCCCCTCGTCCTCAGTTAGGCGGCGCGCCCGGGGGGAGTGAGAAGGGGCGGGCCTTCTCAGAGGGCTCGGAAATCCCCCAACCTTCTGAGAAGGTTTCTGAGCCTTCCCGGGAGACAAACACAAACTTCTCAGAAGGCGCGAGGGCTTCTGAGAAGCCCCGCCGCCTCCTGAGACCTTCTCCTTCTCACTTCCCTCCCTCGCTCGCCGCTGAGTCTGCGCTGTTGCAGGCCCCTCGTTCTCAGTGCCCCTCCTCTCCGCTGAGCAGAGCCCTGGTCTCAGGCGCCCCGGCGGCCCTCCTTCTTCGGGGCCTCCCGCCCCCCGCGGCCCTCGCCACCCGTGCCTGCTCTGGGCGGCGTCCGCGAGCGCGCTTCGCTGACCTCCGCCCGGGTCGAGACGTCAGCCCCGCACGCGCGCCAACCAGCCCTGCGATCCGACGTGGTAAGAAAAAAAGGAAGCCAGGACCAGGAGAAATTCGGGCGAGGAAAAATCGCGATCTCAGATCTGGCGGCTCTGGAGAATGCCTCGGACGCCGCGGCCTTCTCAGGGCGTTCCAGAACGCTCTGAGAGCGTTCCTGAACGCTCTGGAACGGATTTGTCCTCGTCCTAGCCTCGTCCGAGAGAAAAAACGTGACTTGGCGACAAGCCACGACCACCACCTCAGACCCCATCTCCCTGCTTTATACTTCAAACTGGGCCGAGCCGTGATGGCCCCAGAGCCCAAGACGGGGCGAAAACGCAGGCTGTGATAAAATTGCCACGCCCGGGTCTCAGGGAAGGCCACGGCGGCGGAGGCGCGGAGGAAGGCTGGGCATGTTGTAGCCCCGTGGCAGAAGACGACGAGAGCAGGTATGGACGAGGAGACGATGAAAAAGACGACGAAGATTTGAATGAGGAATGGGTTCTGAGGGATACGGGTCCTGGACATGGGGGCGGGACTGGCTTTCATCTGGTCCCATGGCCCAGAAAGGGGCCACGCAGGCCTGACACTGCGAGAAAAGAAGCGTGATTCCTTCCCCTTGGGAACCGCTTTCATCGTGGCGATCCCCGCCCTCCCGTCAAAAACCACCCCCCGATGACCTCTCCAGGGGTGGGCCCGAACGAGAAAGGTCGAGGCGGACCGAGCCGTGAGGACGGGGATATCCTAGAGGCCACAGCAGAGGCCGAGAACGCCAACCAACACAGAAAAAGAAACGACGGCATAAACATTAACATTCGACGGTCCGCGCGGATTTCTCGGATCTGCGCTGGACCCCCCTCCCTTGATCAGGGACCGACCGTCCTGGCATTCCTATAGTCCTACCACGAAATGTCCTTAGAACCCCAAAAAAGTTCCAAGAACAAAAAAAGTCTTAGAACATAAAACCGATGTGTTAGAACAAGACAGCTCCAGCAATACATGTTCTAAGAACATTTCGTGAAAACCACAAAAGGTTCTAAGAACATTGTTTGGTAGGGCTATAGGCACGCCCGGACGCTTCGCCACTGCTTGACTCCCTAGGGCACTCCGCCCCGCCAGAGGCGGCGCTGGAGGCACCGCCGGCGGGCCCCCACGCAGATCCACGACATCCGCGCCGAGCGCCAAACGCTTATGTGTTTATGCCAGTAAACGCTTCTTCTTCGAAAAAACTTGCTCGTCGAACCTCGATCCTCGGGGCCCTTTCTCTTCATTCCGGAGGAGGAGGAATGATGAGGAGGCGGAAGAGAAGGAGGGGCGAACGGGGAGGGGGACGGAGGTGGAGGAGGAGGAGGAGGAGGAGAAGGAGTGAAAAGGAGGAGGAGGAGGAGGAGGAAGAGGAGGAGGAGGAGGAGGAGGAGAGGAAGGAGAAGCAGACCTCTCCCAGCGTCTTCCTGACCCGGCAGCCCAGGTGCGCGGAGCCGCGGCCGCGAGCAGTGGGGCACCCAGCAACCCATCACGCGAGAGACGCTGCTGCGTCGACGCCGTCGCGAAAGAAGACGACGAGCCGGGGGGTCGCCCAAGGTGCCCCTGGCCCCGGGTGCCCCCAGCTCTCTTCGCTCCAGCTATGGAGCCCCCCCGGGGCCCCCTCGGCCTGACGAGGAGTGTCCTGGAGACCGTGGGGGCCTCCTTGGAAGTCCGCGGGACACCCTGGGCCGGGGGCACGTCCAGAAACACCCGAATGAGGAGGGGGAGAGGCAAGGAAGGGTGCAACATCATTCAACGTCGATTGGGGAAACGGGATGGATTCAGCATGTGGGTCGGGTCGGGAAGCCGCCTCTGCACGGAGCTGGAATTGAATCGGATCGGCCGCGCCAGGATGCACGACAGAGCCATGCAAACGTCGCGCCGCACCGAATCGACAAAGAAAACGCTGCGGGGGGAATCGCGCTGCCACTTGCGACCCAACTTACATCGGATCCACGTCATATTTATAACGGATGTACGTCGGAATGATGTCAGACTTACGTCGGAACACCGCCGCGCGAACGTCGACCTTACCTTACGCGGTGGACGTGTGGACTAAATGATTTAAATATTGCGGGCCCCGCGAGGCCTCCAAGAGTCTCTCCGTACCAATCGGAGTCGAAGCGAGCTGGGCAAAATCGATACCGAGACGAATCCATCGGCGATCGACATGGATCCCCCGCACCTCCCGGCAATTGTCGGCGGCGAGCCCAGGCGGAAGTGAGAAGGTCGGGGGCGCGCAAACATGGATTAGCGATCCATGGATTTGGCGCGCGGTCGCCAACTCCATGGATCGGGGGAGGTGCCCTCCCCAGAATGCGGCCGGTGCCACCGCGTTCGGCTGCTGAAATCCGCGATTTCTCATGGAAACGGGACCTATGTCTGCGATCGCCTGAGAAGGCGCGGGCCTTCTCAGAAGGCTCGGAAGTCCACCGGCCTGCTGAGAAGTGTTCTTCGAAGTCTCCCCCGAGACCTACTCGAAGGTCGGAGGGCTTCCGAGAAGCTCCGCCGCCTTCTGAGAGGTTTCCTCGCTCGCCTCCTCCTCCTCCTCCTCCTCCTCCTCCTCCTCCCCCTCCTCCTCCTCCTCCTCCTCCTCCTCCTCCTCCCCCTCCTCCTCCTCCTCCTCCTCCTCCTCCTCCTCCTCCTCCTCCCCCTCCTCCTCCTCCTCCTCCTCCTCTCCCCCTCCTCCTCCTCCCTCCTCCTCCTCCTCCCCCTCCTCCTCCTCCTCCTCCTCCTCCTCCTCCTCCTCCTCCTCCCCCTCCTCCTCCTCCTCCTCCTCCTCCTCCTCCTCCTCCTCCTCCTCCTCTTCCTCCTCCCCCTCCGGCGCTCCTCCTCCCCCCGCGCGCGCCGCCGGAAGAGATGCGGTCTCCTCGGAGGTGGAGGCCGCGTCGGCCCGCGCGCGCAGGCGGCGGAGCTGCTCCTGGCGCGCCCCCCCCCAGTCGGGGAGACGTAAGACCCGGGTACGGGGGACTCGGAAATCCCCGACGAGGTCGTCAAAAAAATGACGAGGCCGAGCCTGCATTTTGACGAGGCCTCCCGCTGCAGACATCCCACGAAACTCCTCCTCGTCAAAATCCGAGGCGCAGTCGTCAAAAAACGATGGCGAACCCGAGTCCTGGCAAACCCGGGTCTTACGCTCCCCCGACCCAGGGCCGCAGGGCGCGGCGGGCAGGGGCAGGGGAGCAGCAACGGGGAGCAAGACCGAAATATGAACATGGAAAACCGTCACCACCACCACCAGGGACCACCAGCGGAAGGAGCCAGGCATGGGGGTCCCTGGTGGTGTGGCCCCCCCTCTCGCTCGGGACATCCCCCAACTTCCCGGCTCGGAGAGGCATCGTGGACCTCCTCGGTGGAGGTGGCGCCCTGGTGGTGATGGTGTCGCTTCTCCTCCCCCCAACGAAAGGACGAAACGAGGCCGCCCAAGCGGTCCCCAACCGGCCCCCCAAGAAGACGGCACTGCAGCAGTCTTCCTCTTCGGCTTGCAGTTTGCGCGTGGAGTGCCCGACGCGAGAATTCTAGCCGCGCGATAACTCCGAACGACACATGACATACATGGGCCCTGCATCCAGATGCCCATGGTATTTTCGACGACCGCCCTCCACCCTCAAAAACGGGCTCTTGCCTGGCGCGGCCGCATGGGCGTGGACACTTAAAGCTGGATTGCAGCCGAAACGCTGTCACAAGGAATCCTTAATAAGAAACGAGGCCCATTTTTCTCCCTGAGATACATGTCGACTCATGATCGATAACCTAAGGACGACATAAGACATACTGTAAAACACTTGAGGAACGCTGAGCCCTTCCCCAACGAAAAGGGTGCCTTCTTCAGAGGCCCAACTGTAGGAACTCGGCTGTAGGACCCCGAACGGGCACTCCCAACAATCACAATGGCCCCAAGAGGGCTCACCCGTGGACTTCATTTTTCATATGGGGGTCGGCGGTGCTACAAATCACTTGATCAAAACTAGAAACAACAGTAGGTGCGGGCATCGGCACAGCGAAGTAAAGCGTCGATTGAAACCGACTGGCAAAACGACATGCGTGAGAACGTCAAAACAATCGAGCAGTCGAGAACGAAGGCAATAAGCGACAACAACTGGTCCAAGGACATCGTCATCCATAGGACGTTGTCCCACCGACCCCATTGGTATGATGACGTGCCCTGTGAGAAAGAAGCGGGAATAGAAGAAGAACCGCCAGCATAATCATAAACTTTCGGAGGTCCGTGCAGATGTTTTGGAATCTGCGCTGGACACCCCTCGCTTGCACGCGGAGCGCGCCAAGGGCGGCGCGGGAGGCGCCGCAAGGGGAACACAACGCCAGTCCGAGACATCCGCGCGGAACTCCGAAGGCTTATGCTTACGCCGGTTGTCTTCGTCGAGAGAAGGCAGCCGATAGGATGGGGACGGTGTGAAGTCCGACGGGGACCTTCCTCCTCCTCCTCCTCCGCCTCATCCTCATCATCATCACCCTCCTCCTCCTCCTGCTCATCATTATCCTCATGATCATTATCATCCTCCTCATTCTCATCACCCTCTTCCTCATCGTCGCAGTCCTCCTCCCAATCCCCCCTGGGAGGGCGAGCGCAGGCACCAGCTTGCAGCAAGCGCCCAGGGCCCACGCGCCGCCCACCGGCACCGGCGAGGAGCGCAAACCGCGCACGCGCACGCGAGCGCAGGGGCAGCGCGCGCAGGGCTGCACGCGGGGCAACGAGGCGCAGGCGATGCGGGAGAGACGGAGGGCCCAAGCAGGATGGAGGAGGGAGGGGGGGGGCAGCATGAGAAAACAACAGAGAGGGCTGAAGAAGAAGAAGAAGAAGAAGAGGCAGGAGAGGAGAAGTGATCGATGGTGGGGCCCGTGAGAGAATGCCCAGGCGCGGCCTGTCGATTTTAGACCGAACACCGCTCACGCCTCTGGGAGCGATGAAGGCAGAAGAAGGGAGGAGGAAGGGGGAGGAGGGGAGGGAGGGGAGGGGAAGAGGGGATGGGGAAGAGCGGAGGAACGAGAACACGGAGGGCGAATCGAGAGACCAGCAGCTCCAATCGGTCCCCGGACCCCTCCCCGGGCCCAAACGCGCCAGCTCCCCGAGCTGCATCCAGCCGTGGCGACGAGCCCCCCCCCCCCCCCCGAGGCCCCCTGCCGCTGCCTCAACGGGCCGCCCTCCGAGGCACGGCGGGGCGAGGACGGCACACGCAAGCGCTCTTCCGTCGCGCGCGCGCGGGCGGCCCGCCAGGTGCTCAGCCCCGCCCCCCCGGGCAGCACCCCCGCGGCCTGCAGGCCGAGGGCCTGGCGCGCGCGAGGCCCTCGCGCGCGCGAATTCGAGCACGTGCAGGCGGCGCGCGCACCGTGGCGCGGCCGCCGAGAGGGGCGCCCCCGGCCGAGGCGCGCGAGAGGACCATGGTTAGGTCGGGCCTGTCCCCCTACAGGAGGACCTGGGACGAAAAATGAAACATACCCAGGAAACATAACTCAAACATGCTCAAAACTGGTCTAAAAATTGTCCCTGGACAAGTCTTTACTGCTTGTGAGTATCTCTCCTGTAGAGGGACGGGCCCGACTTAACTATAGGCCCCGACTTGGGCGGGGGCGGAGGCCACCACGGAGCAGGCGCGTGAGGAGAGGGCGAGCTGAGGCAGCGGTGGTTGGCCCTCTGGGGGGCCCTTCGTCGCCACGGCTGCAGCTTGGAAAACTGGTGCGCTTGGCCCCCACCGGGAGGGGCCCGGGGACCGATTTGGATCGAGCTGCCGCCGTCTCTTGAGCAGGGGCCGACCGTCCCGGCATTCTTATAGTCCTACGACGAAATGCTCTGAGACCCCAGAAATGTTCTAAAAACAAAAGCAATGTTCTTAGAACATCAACCCGATGTGTTAAACCAAGGCAGTCCCGGTCAGACACGTTCTAAGAACACTTCGTGGAAGCCACAAAAAGGCTCTTAGAACATGGTTTGGTAGGGCTCTACGTGAGCCAGGACGCTTCGCCACTGCTTGAGTCTCCGCTCGTCTCTGAAGGGGCCCCAGGACACACAAATAAATACATACAAATAAACAGATTCCCCATATTTTCCGATATTTTCTGGGTGTCTGTCTTCCCCCCCACTCCCCATCTTTTCCCATATTTTCTGGGGAATCGAAGATTAATTGTGTCTGTGTGTTTTTTCCCCTCCTGACAGGAGGCGCAGCCGGCCGCGGCCCCTCCCGCGTCAAGGGGCCCTCACTCCGCGCCGTCGGCCCGCCGGCGCTTGCCCGCGGGCGCCGCAGGCTCGCCCACGCGAGCGCCCGCCGCCTCCTCCGCGGCCGGGCCGTCCCGCGAGCTCGCCCGCCGCTTCGCGGGCGTGGGCGACTCCGCGCTGGCGCCCTCCAGGCCAGCAGCCGCTTCGGTCGAGGCCGGGGCAGCGCTGGCGCCCTCCAGGCCAGCAGCCGCTTCGGTCGAGGCCGGGGTCCCCGCTGGGGCGTCTTCGATCATCACCGGGGTCGCTGCGGCGCCGAGGGCCAGCAGCCTCTTCCGCCAGGCCCTCTCGCGCTGCGCCCTGGCCTTCTCGAGGTCCCCGATCTGCTGCGTGGCCCTCTTCGCCGCGAGCTTCTCCTCGGCCTTCTCCCCCCTGCGCGCCTGCTCCAGCTCGTGCAGCGCCTCGGCCTGCCTCGCCCGCTGCGCTTCCAGCACCTCTTTCTCCCGGGCCCTCGCCTCCTCCAGCGCCTTCTTCGCGACGAGGGCTGCATCTGCGGCGGCCCGCTTGGCTTCCTCCAGCTCCTTCAGCCTATCGCGGCCCTCTCGCTCCAGCTCCAGGAGCTTCAAGGTGCGGATGGCCTCGGCCCGCTTCTCCTCATGCGAGGCGGGGATCGACACATAGCCACAGCCCGGGGAACCGACGTTCTGGGACCCCAGCGGGCGGTAAACATGGATATACTTCGGCCCCGCAAGGACCGCCTGCCGAGGTCCCAGGTGATCAATCCCAGGGGCGACGACTATGGGTAGTAGACCCCCGCTTCGGACCTTAGCCTCCGCGACGCCGCATATCACCTGCTTCCTGCTCAGATGGGACTCTCGCAACTTCTGAAGTGTCTGCGCCTCCTTGAGCTTCGCTGCCTCCACGGCCGCGGCCGCCTCCTCCACCTCGCGCTTGATCTTTTCGTCGTCCTGGAACAGCCGCTTCGTGGCTTCCTCGACGGACGACTCGCACGAGGCCACCTCGGCCTTGGCCTCGGCGATCACCTCGTCGATGTCGCGGTCGCCGACCTCAGCGACGAGCCGCGCGCGGATGTCCATCCTGCCCCTCGGGTTCCGCGGCGCGGGCAGCTCTGCGTCGCCCTCGTCCGTGATGGCGAGAGCTGCCCGGGCTGCCGCCTTGGCCGAGCCCTTCGCCTTCGCCTTGCCCTTGCCCTTGCCCTTCGCCTTGCCCTTACCTTTGGTCTTGCCCTTCGCCTTGCGCTTGCCCTGGCCGCCGCTGCTCCCCGCGGGCTGCGCAGGCGCCTTGGCAAACTCGGCCAGTGCCGCGGCGGGCCGAAGGCTGCCGCTGCCCTCGCCGCCGTCGGGGGCGGTGACGGGCGCAAGGCCCTCGGCGAGCGCTGCCATGGCGCTGCTCAGTGCGAGTTCCTCTGGGGCGCGAGGTCGAGCAAGGGCTGAAACTGAAGCGGCTGGAGCCAAATGGCGACGGAGTGCGGTGGGGTGGGCCCAGGAACCACACGGGGCCACTGGGACCCCGACATCCCGAATACACATCTAATACACATCCAGTGGGCCTGACCAAGGCCCATCCTGAACCCAAGAACTGTGCATGCAACACTCCGCACTTGCGAGAACGAGCGAGGGGGCGGGCGCGGGGTAGGTCTCGGGTGGGTCGCGGGAGGTCGCGAGAGGGTCGCACGGTGGGTCGCCGGGTGGGCCGCGGGGTGGGTCGCGGATGGATCGCGCGGGGGGGGGCGATGACAACAACAACAAGGCAGAACAACCAGCTGGTGTACCCGGACATGGAATGAAATAAGGTGAAACAACCAGCTGGTGCACCCTGCCTGCGAACCACCCACCGCGCAACGCAACGCAACGCAACGTAACGCTGCACTACGCGCCATACGGCCAGCACAGGAAACCACAGGAAGCCGTGGGAACACCTTCGGATCCCCAAAGGCAGCCCACGTATTCCAACGAGCTCAACCTATGCGGGCTTCACCGTGTCGACCTCGGACCTGCAGACTCCTTTGGCATCGTGCAAGGAATCCTGTCGACTCCCCTGCGACTCCTGTAGAAACCTTCAGGGAGAGTACCTCGGGGATCCTATAGAATCCCCTGGGGATCCTATAGAATCCTGAAGGGATGCTAAGGCATCCCTAGGTGATGTTATAGCATACCTACGGGGTCCTATAAGATCTCTAAGGGTTCCTACATAAATCTCCACGGAGTCCTACATGATAGTAGTCGTCGTAGTAGTAATCGTAGTCCTAGTTTTAGTCTTAGTCGTAGTCGTAATTCTAAGTAGTGGTAGTGAGGGCAATGATAAACAATAGAAGTAGCAGCGTCAGCGGTAGCAGAAATACTCGTAGTAGGCGTTGTAGTAGTTGTTGCTGCTGTTGTAATAGTATTCGAACTCGTCGAAGTCGACGTCGTAGTCGTAGTCGTCGTGGTAGAAGTAGAGATAGTAGTAGAAGTAGTAGTAGTGGTAGTAGTAGTAGTAGTAGTCGTAGTAGTAGTAGTAGTGGTATGAATAGTAGTAGTCGTAGTGAAAGGGGTAGTAAGGGTGGAAGTATCAGTGAAAATCGTACTACTACTAGTAGGAATAGTACACGTAGTAGTAGACGTAGTAGTCGTAGTAGTATGTGTTGTTGTAGTGGTAGTAGTAGTAGTAGTAGTAGTCGTAGTAGTAGTAGTAGTAGTAGTAGTCGTGGTGGTAGTAGTAGTAGTAGTAGTAGCAGTAGCAATGGTAATGGTAGAAGTAGTAGTAGTAGTAATAGTAGTAGTAGCAGTCGTCGTAATAGTAGTAGTAGTAGTAGTAGTAGTAGTAGTAGTAGTCGTGGTGGTAGTAGTAGTAGTAGTAGTAGCAGCAGTAGCAATGGTAATGGTAGTAGTAGTAGTAGTAGTAGTAGTAGCAGTCGTCGTAGTAGTAGTAGTAGTAGTAGTAGAAGAAGTAGTAGTAGTAGTAGTAGTAGTAGTAGTAGTTGCCATACTAGTAGAAACAGTAGAAGTAGTAGTAGTAGTAGTAGTAGTAGCAGTAGTAGTAGTGGTAGTAGTAGTAGTAGTAGTAGTAGTAGTAGTATTAGTAGTAGTAGTAGTGATAGTAGTAATAGTCGCCGCAAAAGTAGTAGAAGCAGCAGTCGTAGTAGTAGTAGTAGTAGTAGTTGTTGTAGTAGTTGTAGTAGTAGTAGTAGTAGTAGTAGTAGTAGTAATGGTAGCAATACCAAATGGTAGTCGTAGTAGACGTCGTAGCAGTAGCAGTAGTAGTACGTGTCGTAGCAGTAGTAGTAGCAATAGTAGTAGTAGTAGTAGTAGTAGTAGTAGTAGTCGTATTTGTAGTAGTAATAGTAGTAGTGGTAGTAGTAGTAGTAGTAGTAGTACAAGTAAAGGTAGTAGTAGTAGTCGTAGTAGTAGTAGTAGTAGTAGCCGGAGTAGTAGTAGTAGTAATAGTAGTAGTAGTAGTAGTAGTAGTAGTCGTGGTGGTAGTCGTAGTGGTAGTAGTAGTAGTCGTAGTAGTAGTAGTAGTAGTAGTAGTAGTAGTAGTAGTAGTAGTCGTAGTCGTAGTGGTAGCTGTAGTAGTAGTGGTGGTCGTATCGAGAGCACGGGGTGTCGAAGGAGGGGTAGTAGTAGAAGTAGTAGTAGTAGTAGTAGTAGCAGTAGTCGTAGTAGTCGTAGTCGCAGTCGTAGTAGTAGTAGTAGTAGTAGTAGTAGTAGCAAAAGCAGTAGCAGTAGCAGTAGTAGTAGTAGTAGTAGTAGTAGGCGTAGTAGTAATCTGCCGACCTGTGTCGGCGCGTGGAAGACGCTGTTCGCTGTTTTCTCTGTTTTCTCTGAGACTGTCCTGACTGATGGGTCAGATAGGACGCCTCTCCCAGGAAACTCGCTCTCTGCCTGTGCGGACTGGCGCAGTGGCACGCTCTGTCAGTTGCCGCTACCAAGCTCGCATCCAAGCACGAGAACTCTTTCAAGTCTGAGCGAGGAGCTACCTGGAGAGCCTGGGTAGCCGAGGCGGTCCAGGGAGGAGCTGGGGAGGCCCGCAAGTACAGCAACCCGTCTGTGGGTTGGATTCCCTCTGCCAGCCTCCGTGGGGGGCCTCCACCTGGGCCCCAAGACCAGATCGATGAGCTCCTCAGCCACTGGAAAGAAGTCTGGCAGCCGCACGAGAGCGCCTCTGAGTTCCCCGAGCCCATCGGACACATCACCAGCCTCCTTCAGAGCCAGGCCCAGGAGCGAGGCGTTTCCATTGATGACGTGTGCCCCCAGGCCCATGGTCCTGAGGCGATCAGAGAAGGCGGCCAGGACTTCCAAGAAGTACACTGCCCTGGGAGCAGGCACTCTGCATCCTAGGGCGTTGGCGTCGGCTGCCGGCGGTGCGCTGCGTCGCCGTGCCCTCCTATAGAGATGGCAAGAGTGCGAGGGCTTGTTCGGCACCCCGATCGCCAGCATCCTGGTGGCGCAGCTGGCCAAGCCAGACGGGGGTTTCAGACCCATTGGCATCGAGACTGGCATCAGCAAGGTTTTCACCACGCTGTCCATGCATGAGGCGGCGTCTTGGGAGGACCAGCACCTCAGAAGCTATCAATACAGGGTCAAGGGTCAGTCTTGCGAGCGGGCCGTCTGGGAGCAGAGTCTTGCGGTCGAGCACCTTGGCCTCAAGGGGCTGCCCACGGGGCTGGGGATGCTGGGCCCCGCCAGCGCCTACGAGAAAATGTGCCACTTCCTCCTCATACGTGCAGCTCAGGACTGGGCGTTCCCGCTTCAGGGGCTACGTCTGTTGTTTGTCAAGTATCGTGGTCCGCGATATCTCAGCATGGTAAGCATTTGCTCCAGCCCAGCTGTCGTGAAGCAGACCATCCTGGCGGGCTGCCCGTTCGCCACTACCCTTCTGCGCCTGTTCTTGCTCTCCCCTCCCCCATCGACAAGCTCTGCGTGCACTTCCCGTCAGTTAGGCCTTTCAATTTGGTGGACGAGATCAGCTTGTTTGTCGGAGGGGTCCCGAAGCAGGTCCAGGTGGTTCTTGGGAGTGGTATGGCTTGATTCTGCGGGCTTCTGGAGGCTCAGCACCCGGTCATCTCAGAGTCCAAGGGGGTCATCTTGTTGTCCTGCTCTAGCGTTGCCAAATCGGTGGCCCAGAAGCTGGCCAAGTGGAAGTTCCAGGTGCCTCCCTGCACAAAGAACTTGGAGGTAGATTTCGGCATGAGCCGCATGGGCGTGAGGGCCAAGAAAGTTGCTGTGAGCAGGCTTGGCAAAACCAAGGCGCGCCTGTCCAAGTTCCGAGGCCTTCGAAATTCCTTTGGCGGACTCTTGCAAGCATTGAGAGGAGGAGCTGTTCGGGCGGGCGTGCATGGCAATAACATCAGGGGGATGGATGACATGAGGATCCGTGCATTGAGGTCGTCGCTTGCCCTAGGCTCCTTTGGTGCAGGGGAGAGGCAGGAGCAGCACTTTGGAGTTCATGATGTCCGCCAAGCCAGACACAGAGCACGCTGCGAATGAGTTGCCGCTCCTGTCTTGGTCTTGTGCTGTGCGAGGAGGCTGGTCTCAGCCAGATGTCTTGAGAGACTGTTTTGACGCTGCCCTAAGCCGTCCTGGGCTGGGGCGGTCGGAAGACACAGGCCCTGCCTGTGTCACTGTCCTCACGTTGCGCAGGCTAGGATGGGACCCAGTCAGTTTGTTTCTTTGGAAGACTCGGAAGGGGGCCTCCATAGATCTTCGTGACTTTGGTAAGAGGACGTTACGTAAGCTCATCGAGCAGGACACTCGAGAAGCCCTTCGTGCGAGGATCGGTTTGAAGCTGTTCCAGTCGCCATCTCTGCCGCTGCTTGCCCCGCTCATCCAGCTTTGTCGGGCGTGCAGGGGGGAGATGGGGAAGCAGAGTAAGAAGAAGGCGTGGCTCCTCTCTGGTCGAATTGCGGGAGGTTGCTCTACGCAAGCATGCCTGCTTGAAGATAGACGCGCGATTGACTGCAAGTGCCAGATTTGTGGTCTCGAGGCTGGTACCCAGATGGATCGGCTGTACAGGTGTCCTGCGCATCAAGGCCTCAGGCATATGCTAGACCTTCCAGAAGTTGAATGCGAAGCTGCGCGCCCAAATGCTTGTCTGGTTCGGCTCACCCGTGGGCTCACGCAGCCACCTGAAGGCATGTGGCCCCCTCTGGACCTCCAAGAACGTGTGGTGTGGGTTAAGAGGCCTACCTCAGGTTTGTTGGAGTCCAGGGTTTGCATCGATGGTTCGGCTATTGATCCTGGGTTACCGTTTACTAGGGCAGGATGGGCTGTCATGGGGATGGATACGTTTGCTGCCTGCACCACCGCTTCCTTCCATGGTCCTCTCCCTCACCCCGTTCAAGAGGCGAGATGCGGGGAAGTGTACGCTCTGCTCATGTGTCTCCGGTTCCTGTCCGTTGGGGCCGTCACTATCGCCACGGATTGTCAGATGGTGGCGATGTATGGAATGGGGGTCCTGATCAGAGTACGGATAAAGTTGCATACAGCGAGCTTTGGGGTAAGGTCTTCCATATCAGCGCGGACTACGGGAGAGAAAACATTTCCATCATCAAGGTTCGCTCCCATCTGTCCCTCGCCAGGCGTCGGGCTTGGGGATCCCCGTCTGGGCGTGGGTGGGGCACCGCGAGGCCGACGCCCTGGCGGGGGATCAGGATGTGTCTAAGATCAGGGCCCCCGTTAGAAAAAAAGCATGGGGACCAGAGCTGGTTGCAGATGCCAACGGCCACAGCGTGCACCGTGCAAGCAAGGCTTCGTGTCGCTCTTTCTGCACCCGGTGTGCGGACCGCTCCTGGTCTAGGGCTGGTCTCTGCCCGGCCCCGTGCACGGGCGTACCCAGGATTGCGAGAAGGCCCACGAGACTCCCAGGCCGTGGCTTGATTAGGGTGGGATTGTTTGGTGCTCACGGCACCCAACGGCAACCAACAACCTTTCCAGCCAATGCCCTGGGCCCCCCCGCAACCATGGAGCCGTGCAGAGCCTTGCAGAGCTCAAATCTGGCAAGAACACCTCCGACGGCTAACGTTTCAGCGGATGCCAGCGGAGCGACTGCAAGGCCAGCCGCCCGTCGTTGTCGAGTGTGTAGAGTGGCCTTCGGGAGCTGGACTACATCGCGATAGGAACAGAGGAGCAGGGGAGGGGGAGGGGGAGGGGGAGGGGGAGGAGGGAGGAGGAGAGGAGGAGGAGGAGGAGGAGGAGGGAGGAGGAAGAGGAGGAGGAGGAGGAGGAGGGAGGAGGAGGAGGAGGAGGAGGAGGAGGGGAGAAGGAGGAGGAGAGGAGGAGGAGGGAGGAGGAGGAGGAGGAGGGAGGAGGAGGAGGAGGAGGAGGAGGAGGAGGAGGGAGGAGGAGAGGAGGGAGGAGGAGGAGGGGGAGGAGGGGATGCACCCCCCTGGGGCGATCCCCCCCCCCCCCCCTACACTTGACCCTGCTCACGCCTCGGGCCTCTGGCGGTCGCCCGGGACGCCCCGCGGGCAACCCCGGAGCGCTCTCGGCGAGGCGCAGCTGCTCGAACTGATCCCCCCGTCCGCGCGGAGCGCCAAACCTTTGTGTCTATGGAATTTGTTTACTGTTGTTGTAGACCGGGGGTCGACAACACAGTCTGAGGCTCAAGGCTCTCCCTGGCAAAAAAGACAGGGTGCGAGCCCGGGAGGGACACCCCAATGGAAAGAACAGAAGGCGAACCAGAAGGGGGCGGATCAACAGTATTCCCCAATCAGTGCTTGCACTGACGGGGTCCTAGCGGAAATTGGAAGATTTGGCGAAAACTTACCGCCGAATTTGGTGGCCAGCTGGGTCCCCGGGTTCCCGGTTCCGGGTTCCTGGTCATTAAATCCGGGCCGATTTCGGTGGGTTCCGGGAACCCGGGTTCCCCGGTTTCCAGTCGATATCCTCCTTATCGATCTCTTTATCGATCCCATTTCAAACCATCCGCTGAGTGGGGTTTTCCTCTGGTGTAATTTTTGTTAGCGCAACAATCAGACAAGGGACAGTCGTTTGCCTGGTGTGGTCCCAAGAATGAACTACTGGTGATACAGTGGCGGTACAGAGCCATACACTGCATCGGCAGGGTGTGCACGTCGCGGATTGCCTCTTGGAGGCGGCGCCCGTGTCCAGGGTCAGAGAACTTGGAATCAAACTTCTAACTTAATCATAGGCACCCCGAGGCCGGGAAACCGCCGAGAAACACCGAGAGTGTCAGATAATCGAGGCCACAGGGGGCGGCAAGACTGGTTGCACACCCGAACTGACGAGGAGCGCGGCAACTGGATGCGCGACCCGCATGCTAGAAGAACAACACACGACATAAGCATGAGCTCTCGAACATACGTGCGGGTTTCTTGGAACGGCGCTGGAACAACCCTGAAGAAACCAGCACGGATCTTGAGAGGAGGAGGAGGAGGAGGAGGAGGAGGAGGAGGAGGAGGAGGAGGAGGAGGAGGGGGAGGAGGAGGAGGAGGAGGAGGAGGGGGAGGGGGAGGAGGGGGAGGGGGAGGCTTCCATGTCATCTTGCTGGCTCTTGCGGGCCGACGCTTATCCACGCGAATTTGACGCTGCATCGGCGCGTCCTCATCAATTACCAGTCGCTGGCGCACGCAAGTGCTCTCTGAAGACATAACGTCGCTGATACGCGCTGCAAAGTGTCTGCCTGTGCAGTTGCTTGTTTCTCTCGGGGATGGACAGACCCCCCTTTAGTAAAACGTGGTTTAGTGAAAACGACCTGAGGCCCAAATTTGACGGGCGCAAGCCTGGAAAATAACGGCCACGGCGCCCTCTCGAGAACCGAAAACGGACAATTCACTAATCGACGTGTCACTGTTGGGGGTTCTGTCCACCCCCGATTCTCGAGCTGCGGCCCTCCCTCCTCGGAGTAGCTGAGGTGCTCTTTCAGGAGGTCCTGGAAGTACTCCGCGAACAGCGCCTGCTTCTTCTGGAGCTCCTCCAGCTGCGTCCCCAGAGCACTCTGCACCTCGGCACGAGCCACCAAGGAAGGCCAGAGATCGACGGGCGACGGGCTGCCCGGACCACCGAACCTGTCCGGCTTGCGGAAGAAGGTGTCACGTGCGGCCGCCTCCTGGAGCCCAGGGACGAGAGCTGCCAACGCAAGGCCTTCGGGACAGTTCCCGAGAGGCTCCAGAGTAGTGCCGGGAGGCACGTTGGTAGAGATCGCCGCATCCACACACAACAAAAAGAGACATCGTAGCACCGATCGAGTTGGGGCCACTGTCTCGAGCCGATGTGGGTTTCTCGAAGTGCCCATGACACCTTGAGCTTGAGAACTCCCTGGTAAGCGACATCACGACAGCAGCTCGCCGCGTGAGCTTCGTTGAATCGATCCCCATCCCCACTGACGTGGCCTGAGCCCCTCTGACGGATTTACCCCCCTGGATAGGAAGATGGCCTGTTTCCGTCGGGTTTCGAGGAGCCCACCCCCAACTGGGGTGGCAGGATGGTGGTGCTGAGAAGCCATGGCCCCGTGAGGATGGGGATCGGTTATACTTGGGGAAGCCACATGGTACTGATGCCGTCACTCCCTGGACGTCTCCCGGGTCGCATTCTGACCAGAGTTGCGAAGCGAATCCGGCAGTAGCGACGAGGTCCTCCCCCGAGGCCCAGAAAGAGGGAAAAGGAGGCGAGGGTAGCAGTATGGGTACCTTCTCCTCCGCTGAATACTAATCGTTCGTGGCCACGCCCGCATGAGGTAAGGGCCCCGATGGCGACCGTGGAGCCGAGGAGCGCAGCGAGCGCGCCTTGTTGCGGGGGAGCGGAGCGGTACCGCCCCCCAGAGCTCCGCGAAGTCCTCGGGGGCACGCCTCATGAATTACGAGCCGGGGGATGCGGATCAATCCGCGGCGGGAACGTTGGCCACTGCGGCTGCCCGAGAAAGGCGCAGGAACGAAGGACACCGACCGCGCTGCTACACACGCGGGTCAGATTTGTATGTCGCCACGCCGTTGGTCCTCGACGCGCCCAAGTGCACGACGTCGACACGAAGGCAAACTCGCGGCAAAGCTTGAGTCTCGCACCCAGGTAGACGGAGCCGGCACCTGGCACCCTGGCAAACCCACTGCGAACCCCCACCGCGCCCGAGGCGATGTTTGCTCTGGTGGCCGCGGCGCCCTCCCCAAGACATAAGGCCGCGCGGACACGGCAGCACCAATCTTAGGTCGGGCATGTCTCTCCTACGGGCGGATGTTGGATCATTTGTGTTTGATCCCAAATGGTTAAACAAAGACATACACAATATAAAAATCGTTCCCATACTATGCTTTGACAATGCTAAAATTTTCCCCCTGTAGAGGGACAGGCTCCACTTAGCACCAATCCACAACCGCCTTTGGGCCTGGATGGCACATTCAAACTCCTGGCCTGGACCACCTGGCCTGCAGGACATCTTGGAGTTCAGAATGGCCCTGGCCAGGGGCACTGGTGATGCATTCGAGCCAAAAGCAAAAGGCGGGATATCAACGCAGAAAGCGTTCAAAAGCAAACCAACTACGCTGAGGTAGCGAGACTGCTTACCGACTCGAGCTAAGCTAAGCCACTGAAGCGCATCAAGCTCGTCTGGAAGAAAGGTCGGCTGCGGGAAGATGAATGATGGCGTGCGATCCAGGCAGTACGCGCTCTCATGCACATTGGGCCCCATCGTTAGAGGCCACCTAGGTGGGGTCCGAGTAGATGGGGTCGGAGGATCGCGCCGCATCGCCAAAGCAACGCTGCTGCATCGGCGATGCATCGACGACGTTGGCGACGCATCGGCGACGTTCCTCCCCCTCCTCTCTTTGACCGCTCTTTTTCACTATATGCGGCTCTTCTTTCCATTTCCCGTCAGCTCTCGTGGGCAGGGCTTCTGAATGGGCTGGCGGGGATTCGCGAAGCGTAAACCATTGAGAGGGCATACCAGGCATACCAGGCTCCGATGATGTGCTAATTACCGAAGGAATGGGAGGGGGAGCGACTTGCCAGTGGCACCCTGGGCAATGGCCTTGTGCATACGCTCCCTCCTGGCCGAGGCCAGGAGGGTCCATGCGCAATATTCTGGAGCCGAGGATAGCCCTGACAAGGCACGGCGGTGGATAGATGATGCCCCCCTCTTCTTCGTTCATCCTTGCTCCTCCTCGTTCCTCCCCCTCCTCCTCCTCCTCCTTGCTCCTCCTCCTCCTCCTCCTACTCCTCCTCCCTTCTGCCCCTCCTCCTCCTCCTCCTCCTCCTCCTCCTTCTCCTCCTCCACCACCTCGCTCATGCCCCTCCTCCTCCCTCCTGCCCCTCCTCCTCCTCCTCCTCCTCCTCCTCCTCCTCCTCGCCCTCTAGATGATGACCCCTGCAGGAAGAGTGGACAGACACTCCCTGCGCGGACAGGCGTGGCGGTGGACGGGTACCGTGTCCACTGGCACGGCCTAGCGGCCAAGTCACCTCGGCCGCCCCATCCCCCGCGGAGTCAGGCTGGCTCTCTGCGCGGCTGCCTCGCGCGGAGCGCACCCACGGGGGCGCACGTCCGCGTGGGCTCGCGCCTCGGCTGCCAGATCGCGAAGGCGCGGACGTGGACGTGCTCGTCGTGCTCGGCGGCGTCCGAAGAGGAGGGGGGAGGAGGGGGGCGCACGAGGGCCCCGGGCTGGTGCGCGGACGGGGGGGCGTGTGCGCGCGTGTGTGTGTGTGTGTGTGTGTGTGTGTGTGTGTGTGTGTGTGCTTACATTATTTCTCAGCTTTGTTGTCTTTCAATCTTTGCTGGTATTGAAGCCTGCACGGCAGGCCAGCATCGCTGCGATCGCCAGCACCCTCACCAGCACCGTCAACACCAGCCGCTGCCAGCTTTCTTGTATGCATGCTTGCTCTCATGGTCACTGTATGCTCTTGCCCCCTGCAGCCACATCTCTCAGAGGACACTATAGGTCTCGGGAGCACGGTATGCAGGCGACGCTCAGTTACCGTGCCCTGGTCGCCCTCTGATAAAAACGTTTGTTTATTGAACTGGCCTTTCGGCCATTCCGATCCTCTGATGTATTGGGATTAAAACCTTGATATATTGGGTTTGGTCTAAGGCTGATTGGGACATGTAATCATCACGATGTGTTTGCGATGGTGTGGAGGTCCGACAACGTGCCAGACTGTACCGCTCTCGCAATGTTCATACCATATTCATACTCGTAGTTCGACTTCTACTGACATGTGCCGTTACGATTCAGCCCTGCGATGCAGGGACACCCTCTACATCGATCGCCAAGTTGGTAGATGCAAGCTTGCGAACATCTATGTCTTCTAAGACGACGCACTCTCACATGTCCAAAAATTTGGTCGAACCCATCCTTGAGCAGCAGATTCGAGACATCACTAGTTGGGTTACTCAGCTTACTGTTTCACTTAGCTTCAAGGGCAACGATATACCTCATACCCGCACGACGGACGTCGTGGATCAGCTGATGATGACAACACTCTGGCAGGTATCATGTGCTCAGCCGTCCATGGACTATCTCTCGCTTCTGGACCATCTTATCCAACAGTTCTCCGACCGATTTGCAGGCGATGATTGTGTATCAGACCTTCATTGTTCAGCGATGTGCGTTACGCTCTTGGTCTCTCACAAGATTACTTACACACGATATCTCTGGACTCAGGGGCGACGGGCTCGACGGACGGCGCAGCGCATCTGTCTTCCATTGGACGTTGAATTACAGCGAGCCTTGTCGAGACCTAAAGGGGCCACATTTATCGACGTCCTTGCTATACATGACTTTCTACGTATACAACTAGCGTGTACTATGGGTTCGTCATCGCGCTCCTCGGGGGCAACATCGTTCATATATGAAACTGGTACTCACGCACGTTATATCGGACAAGGTAGTATTCGACGACAGACTGGAACACTAAGTGGAGTTATAGCTAGGACACGTGAGCACTACAAAGCCTTAAAGAAATGTAAGTTGGATAAGCTCTTAGCTGATCGAGCACGTTATGGTTCCTTGCTTGCTTCACATAGTGCACGGACCATATCCATCATGTTCATGACCATTATGCCCACGCACATGGCCACGGCGATTGAGGCATCGTATATTACATCTGCGTGCCCAGAGGCGAATAACATTTCGAAAGCTCACGGCGATTTCGCTACCCAAAAACCAATGTCAGCACGATCACGACAACTACGAAACAAAGGTCCCAGGGGTCGCACAAATCGTCATGAGCGCCGTCTACACCCCCCTCGGGCCCTGGACAATATGGAAATGCATGAAGTTTGGCAACGAGCACGACTTGAAGCTCTTCGCACCCTTCATATAAGACAAACCAGGAAACGTGAACGCGTTCGGGAATGGAACGCAGTATTACGTTGACATTTTTATAGTGCGTATGATTTCTTTCTTCGACGTCATCTTGCCAGATCCCATTCCCTTGGGCCATTGTATTTGTATGACCCCACTAACGCGATCCTGCTTATTCGTTTCTGTGCATGGAAGTCTCACGAGGTGATGTGGCAGCGCGCTCTCCATGGAAAGCGGCGCGGTTCTGACTATATATATACGCTATGGGGATTGTGTACAGTCTTTCCCTTCTGGCATGAGAAGGCCATCGCACAGGCCTCGCTTGCGACACAGTCAGAGATGATGGGTTTGCCTCGTCCGGGCGGTGTCACGCTCGTATTGGATCGTGAGGATGACCTCAAGCCTGTGCGAAAATGGGTTAACCCCGTCCTCCACCACACTTCCCTCGCCCGACCTGCCTGGGCCCTACTTGCGCTGAAACAAGTTCGCATCTCCCTGGGGGCAAAGCAGACTATACAAAAACAATGTCAATCCATCACCCAGGACCTGGCAAAGCATAGCATCGATTTCCTGGACAAGATTACTTTGGAGGATTTGAGGATTTCAGCGCAAGGAGAAGATCTTTTTCGGTTACCTGTTTGTGGACGTCTTCCCTGGGTGCCTGAAGTATGCCAGGATGTGTCACCCAGCAGTATCTCCAGGTGTGCTTCCTGGC